ACTCAATGTTAGGTTCATTATGAAAGTATAATTAGTTTTAAGGCATAAACTGAGCCCACCCGCAAGCCATAAATCAACAGTATCTTTGCAGCACACAGGCTACTCTAAATAATCTCAACGAGACTTTGCAAATGAATCTTTGTTGAATTAATAGGTTGCCTATCATACGGAAGAATATATTGTCTAAGCCTGTGTTCTCCAATGTTGAGACTTTCAAAGGATTACAATATCTTGTCTCGGGAAAATTTGCATACCGCTTGTGGATGTCTTTTTATAGCAGTGAGCAGCATCAACATAAGCTTGTGCCGCCTCATGTTTGCTGTCCAACTAAAAACAGAAAGTGCCAAACGCATGAAACTCCCAAGCAAATGAAACCAGTCCTCAATCCTGCATTAAAGCTCCAAAATACTTACTTTCAGATGACAGTTTGCAAGCTTGACATACGTAGCCCCAGCTCTATCCCCTGAAACAACATAAATGGTGATTAGAGCTAAGCATTTTACAAAGTTCAGCAATATGGAGGAACACGATACTGATACAATCTATGGGATCAAGTGAGACCAAACCCAAGCATATTTAACTCATTCATCAGCTTGAACAGTCAACTCAATTTAGGTTGACTATTAACCCAACATCCTTAAAGCACGAAACTAATAATTAGAGGCTATATTCCTAAATACAAGTTCAATTATAGCACCGCTCTGGAGACACTGCCATTGTGAACAACTCTCCACCCAATCATCATAAACTAGACCCATGAACGTGCAGACATCCAACAACGAGCCTCGGAATTGAAGCCCCAATTCAGAGCCAAAATCCTACATTAACTGAAAATCAAACACCGAAGCTGTACCCTTCAATCCGGAAAATAAAATTTTACGAGCAAACGATTGAGAAAATCAAGATCAACCAAAGGGAAGGCGGATCCTGAACAGTACCCGACGAAAATTCAATCAACCAGAAAATTATCGGAGTGCAGGAGGGAGGAGAGGGATTACAGGATTTAGCAAGTTTGTAAGAATTAGCAGCTTTGTCAAACAGATCGGCCGCGTCTTCGAATTTGGAGCCGAATATGCCCCAACCGCTGAGCTTCTTCTCTGCTTTCTTCTCGAAATCGTCCGCCCTTGCAATTTGATCTCCCATCTCCAGACGATTTTTAATCCTTTGGCCACTGGATCTTCGATTATCGGAGAATGGAAGTTAGAATGTCTTGCGATCGGAGGATAAATACGAAGCCCTAATCCCCCTTTTCGAACGACATGAGGATATATAGTCAGAGAGAAAGGTAAACAAATTGAAACCAATTTCAATGGAAGAAAACAACCTTTCTCTCTCTCCCGACCGCGGACCGACTCGACTTGATTCAGACTATATCGACTTCTTTCCTTCGACTGAAACGCAGTGTCGTTTTCGGCTGGTGATTGGATTGATGTCAGGATGTCAAACCGGTTTATGCCAGTGTGCCGGTTTATCAAGTGGAATGGTTCGACCGGTGGTACATATCGGTTTGTGCCGGTTCATGCCGGTCAGTATTATAAATACTCATATTTAAACATGACATTTAATGTCAATACCTAAACATTTATATTTGAGTCCAAATGGGACTAGATACTATAACAACACTCCTTGTGTTGTTATTATAACAACACTAGTCTCCAACCAATAGGAAGCTAGGGTTGTGATGACTTTTTATTAGATGAGTTGACCTAGTGTAAAATCAAAGCAGGGGTATAATTGTCATTATGAAAAATATGTTTAAAAAATACAAAAATAAAAAAAATAAAAAATATTTTTATTTTCGGCCAAAAATTTTGGTCACCGGAATTCTGCCACCGGTCGCCGGAAAATGGTCGCCGGTCACCGGAATATGCCTTTTGTCACCGGAATATGCTTACCGGTGTCGGAATATGCTTACCGGCGTCGGAATCTAGTCATCGGGGCCGGAATATGTTTATCGGCGCCGGAATCCGGTCACTGACGGTCACCGGAGTTCGGTCAACGAATTTCGTTGACCGGTCAACGGTCTTCATTGACCGGTCAACGGTCAACGATCACCGGATGTTATGGTCTGCATTGTGAGATTTATGGTTTGGTTTCTCATATTTTTGTACGCCTTTTGTGGTTTGCTTTATCGTGTTTGTGGTTTGCATTAAGAAGTTTCTGGTTTGCTTTATCGTGTTTGTGGTTTGTATTGTGAGGTTTCTGGTTTGTTTTCAAAGATTTTGTGGTTTGCATTGAGGGGTTTCTGGTTTGTTTTAATATATTTGTGATTTGCATTAGGACATTTCTGGTTTGCTTTTTTGTGGTTTGATTTACTGTGTGTTGTGGTTTGCATTAGGAGGTTTTTGGTGTGCTTCGCAAATGTTGTGGTTTGCTTTGTGAGGTTTGTGGTTTGTTTTAGGAGATTTGTGGTCTGCATTCGGAGGTTTCTGGTTTGCATTAAAAAGTTTCTGGTGTGCTTTCGAAACTTTTGTGGTTTGCTTTGAGAGGTTTCTGGTTTGTTTTAATATATTTGTGGTTTGCATTAGGACGTGTTTGATTTGCTTTACCGTGTTTGTGGTTTGCATTATGGGGTTTCTGATGTGCTTTTCAAAATATTTCTGGTTTGGTTTACAATGTTTCTGGTATTGCAGAGGCAACAAAAATTGACTTCGTGATATCAACCGGGGATAACTTCTACAACGACGGATTAACGGGAATCGACGACTCCAATTTCTACCATTCATTTGCAGACATCTACACAACACCCAGCCTGCAGAAGCAGTGGTACAACGATAATTTATGGTCCAAATCTGTAATTGAATGATTCTTCCTCCTTCCTCTGCAATCCTTTGCGGGGAAAAAAGTATTCTTCTTTCTTCTACAGTGCCATTCACTACGAGGATTTCGAACCAAAATCAGAATGGAAAGAAGAAGAGCTGCAACCACAACAGCAGAAGGCTCAGCTTTTGCTTCTCCATCTCCCTGGTAATTAATCTATTCTCTTTCTTTGATATATATTAATTGTCAGCTTTATTACAGCTTTATTACATAATTCCTCATTCTGGTGCGCAGAATTCAAGAAGGAGCAGCTGAATCGTCCAATCCACCAGAACCTTACAGGTCAGCGGCGAGCGGCCGCTGACCGACTCCGACACCAGGAGGAGGAGTCGTTTTAACGTCACGTTCCCCGTCCCTCAGAACTGCGACGCCTTCAGGATACAGGGCAAGTTCCAGGATGAAGTCCTCATCGTCACCATTCCCCGACTCCCAGAAACCCCCGCCACCACCGTCGCCGCCGCCTCTCCTCCGTCGTTGTCGCCGCCTCTCCCAGGAATATGCACTGTAACATTGTTTCTTCCTTTTGTATCGCTTGCTCGGAGACGCCGCCGATCCATCGCTCTATCTCCTTCTCCGGTAAACCACCGATCGATCGCCCTAACCTAATAATTTCTCCCCTGCCTCCCTCCAAATTCAGAGTTCACTGAAATTGGGAATTTTTTCTTCTTCTTCTTCTCCAATCACCAACAGAGAGCTATTGACCAAATTGAGAGAGTTTTGCGGTGGTGCTATGGTGAACTTGCGCTGTCAATTACCAACGGAATCAGGAGGAGGCCTCTGGATTTCACAGGCAGCAACAGCGAGAAGAGATCGAGAGACGGAGAAGGGGAGGCTGGGGATTGAAAATTATTTTTTTATTTTAATTTGTTATTTTGTGGTAGTTTACCCTTTTACCCTTAATGAATCTTGTTGTTAGTATAACAACACTATGAGTGTTGTTATACTATCCGCTCCCCAACAAATAACATCAATATATAACTTTTATACTCATAAAACAAATAATAAAATAATTTTTAACAATTTAAATTCACTAAACTAAGATCATTTTACTTAGAGATTCGTATATCGATCATACCTGTGGTGTCACGCCGGTTTAATGACCGGTAACAGTTGAACCAGGTACAGTACAACCGGTGGCCACCGGCCGGCGTGAGTGACAACCATTGATGTCATTTAGCTACCGGGCTTTGCAAAATTGACACAGAAGGTGGCGAGGAGGGGAGGCCCAGATTTCACCTGTTACGTAGATCATCACATCAGCCATGTGTCAAGCAACCTTGGCCCGTTCTAACATGTGGGTTGTGGGCATGTTCCTCAGAAAAAGCAGCTCTCAACACTATATAGAGGTAAAATAGTTCGGGTGTTACTAGAGTCTAGAGGGTGGCAAGTGAAATCCATGAATTCAATCCAATCCATTTAAAATGGATCTAAATCCAACTAGATTTATCCAAGTCCATTAGATCCATATCTATTTTTTTTTTTGCATCAGCGGAGGCAAAAGCCACAGAAGCAGAAATTACAAGGGGAGAGGGAGGAAATTAAGCACTGGGAGAGGGAGTTGACACCACCACATTCCGAGTGAATGTGATGCCTCTAACATCGTCATTGAGCAGCCTGGTAAGCTCGTTGGGTGGGTTTGACAACTCATACATACCGTAGGGATAGACGAGACTGTGCTTCGAGAGCCAGTCCGCGACTCTATTCCCTTCCCGGTATGTATGGGAGAGTCGCACCACCCAGTCCTGAGCCAAAAACCGACGAATCGCCGCCAAAAGGGTCGCATAAGGGTGAACGGGGTCTGTACGCTTGTTCACCAGCTCCAGAGCTAACTTCGAGTCCGATTCCACTTGGATCACTCTACATCCTTGTTTCCACGCCATGATTAGATCCATATCTATTAATTCATGGATTGGTGGATTGGATTCATGGGTTCAAGGATTGATCCACCAACCCATTAATCCAAAAAAATCTTAAAATATATTAAAGGCTTTTGAGAAATGCACCCCTTCCACATAGGGTTGCAAATGAGCCGAGCCGAGTAGAGTTTTACCCCAGTTTGAGCTGAGCTCGTTTATTAATGAGCTGAGTCGAGCTCGAGCTAGCTTGTTTACTAAAAATTTACTTTTATTTGGTACTTCATTTTGTATATCATGATACATATGATTTATTTTGTTAGCTAATCTCATACTATACTTTATTGGTATCATATATAATTTAGTTAATACATTTTAACTACTCCAAATCATATTATTTCATAGTATCGAAGCAATCTATGAAACATTATATTTTTTTTTAAATAGAAAATAGGCCTAATTTCATAAAAGGCCCATAGTTTACACTTTCTGTCACTTGTACACCTATGTTTGTCCCATGTCAGTTGTGTCCCAATGTTTTATCTCCGTTAACTTTGACGGTTAGTAGTCAATAGTCAATGTATTGACTAACTGTAACACCCTAATCCGGCCGGGTACTACTTTTACTAAAATGCCCTTGATAAATAAAATACTTGAAACACCATAACCCGGCCGGGTACTACTTTTACTAAAATGCCCTTGACAAATAAAATACTCAAACCTAAATTGCAGCAGGAAAAATTTTCATAAACAAAATACTGAAAGCACACTTGTAGTTCAAAGCATAGCCCTAACAAGTGGGCAAATTAAACTCAAACTTTAAAATCTCAATCTGATCGCAAAATAATCTCCAGTCTGTACTCATAATTAGGGCTGTTAATGAGCCGAATCGAGCCGAACTTTGCCATAGTTCGGGCTCGGCTCGTTAATATATTTCCAGGCTCGAGCTCGGCTCGTGTTCGTCACGAGCTTTAATATTCAAGCTCGAGCTCGGCTCGTTTATGAAAATGAAAGCTCGAGCTCGGCTCGTCAAATAAGTTTAACGAGCCCAAGATCGAGTTCAGCTCATATAATATTCATGATAGCTCAAGATTGACTTAGAACTAAGCACAAAATGACATTCAAACCTGTAGCAACGTTTATCAAAGTAAAACACAATATTTATCCCAATTTCAATTCATAAAATACATGAATTCTAATCCTTTTTTTATGCCAAACCATTAAATGAGCTTGTTTGCGAGCTTTCGAGCTGAACATGGTATGGCTCGAGTTCGGCTCGTTTTGTTAACGAGCTTGTTCGCGAGCCGGCTCGATTAAGACGAATCGAGTGTCGAACGAGTTTTTCTCGATTCGGACACCGAGCCGTTCATGAGCGGCTTGGTTCATTAACAGCCCTACTCATAATCATAAAACATAATAACTAACTAGTCTCAAGTGTTGCTGCTTGTGTGAAAAACTCTGACTAGACATCCTCTGTGACGCTCGTACCGTCCTCCTCTAGCTAGCTTCACTCGAACTGTTTTTCTTGAACTCGCTGCTCTCTAACTCCTATTAGTCCTCTTCAAACTGGTGAGTGAGATGGGGTCAGTCTACGCCCTTACATTTTAAACTTTCTAATAATTTTGCACTTCTTCTCAAATACTTGAACTCAAACTGAGGGAAGTTGTTTGTACTTCCATTCTTAAAAAAATCTTAACTCTTAAAACTGTGTGGAAGTAACTGTTACTCTCCACTCTTAAAGTTTAAATCTCAACTTAAATACTTGACTGACACTGGGATCCCTCACTAGCTAGTCTGGTTGCCAACTCATACGTATGAGAAACCATTAAGGCTTTCCTTAAACTTAAACTTAGTTAGGGAAGTCGTAACGATTCATCCCCCTAATATCTTAAACTTATCGTGGTGGCTCTTCACCACGAGTCTCAAGGGCATAATTGCTGCCCTTTTAAAAGTCTCAAGAGCATAACTGCTGCTCTATCTCAAAGATCTCAAGAGCATAACTGCTGCTCTATCTGAAAATCTCAAATGGCAACGGACTGGCGCTAGCGACTAAAACACTTAAAACGACTTCACCTTCTTGAAGGTGAGTTACTTCTTCAAAACAACTGGTTCCTTAAACTTTAACAATGACTCATAACATCACACTCTAAGGTAAATAACCCAACTCACCACAAATCATAGCTCAAGCAAAGCACAAATCATCAATCATAAGCACAATCAAACAACGACAGCCACTTCATCAAATACTTAAAGCTCGTAATACTTGAAATAACACGTAAGGCGTAAAATTTACCCCCTTTACACTCACCTTACTTCTGTTGGAAGTGGCTCTGATTTTGCTCCAATGATTTCATACTCGCTTCCCAAAATAACATTACACCCTTACTTGCTTGAAAAATGAGCAGCTTGCTTAACAATGGACCAGCTTACTTCAGTGCGGATGGCAATAACAATGGATCAAGTACTTAACAATGGACCAGTTTGCTTATGCTAGCAGCTTTCGTGGTAGGGAGGGCAATAATTCGCTAGCTTGCTTATGCTAGCAGCTCTCGTAGTAGGGATTATGGCAGCAGTTCTCGTAGTAGGAAGGAGGGCTATAATTCGCTTTGCTTTGGGGGAGAATTACTCCTCAAAAAGCAAGCTCCTCAATCCCACCACAACCACCTGCCTTTTTGAGGAGCTTGCTTTTTTTTGCCACCACAGCCACCTGCCTTTTTGAGGAGCTTGGTTAAGCCACCACAGCCACCTGCGCTTGGTTTTTGAGGAGCTTGCTTAAGCACACAGCTCTCATGGTAGAGAGAGCAAAGAGGAGCTTGCTTAAGCACATAGCTTTCACAGTGGGGAGAACTACCCTCGCTGCGAGAATTTGAGCAACTCCTCCGCCGCCATATAACAACGGTGAGACGAGCTTGGTTAAGCAGCCACCTCTCATACTAGCGGGGATGAGCGATTTCCCGAGAGCCTTCCGGTGGATAGTAGGCTGCGAGGGTTTACCAAGTGGGGTAAGGCTGGGCTCTAGGGTTTTTACTAGTCCAAGGGTATTTGTGCAAATTCATACTTGTTTTAATCCGAAACTCAATTAATGTCGCTTGAACCAATGGTTCACATTTTTCGTCCTCATCGATGATACAGCGGAACTTGACCCAGGGGCATAATAGTCATTTTGACTTTTGGGAAGAGCGGGGTGTAACAATACTCAAATCTTAAATTGCAGCGGGAAAAATTTTCATAAATAAAATACTGAAACCACACACTTGTAGTTCAAAGCGAAGCCCTAACACATGGGAAAATTAAACTCAAACTTTAAAATCTCAATCTGATCTCTAGTCTATACTCATAATCATAAAATGTAAATAACTAGGTAGTCTCTGTCGTTGCGGCCACTGAAAATCTTAACTAGGCATCCTCTGTGACGCTTGCACTGCCCTCCTCTAGCTGGCTGCCCTCGAACCTTTCCTCGCGAACTCGCTGCTCCTCTAACTAGCTGCTACCGAACTGGTTCTCGCTCATTCCCTTACTAAGGCCTGGTGAGTGAGTTGGGGTCAGTCTACGCCCTTACGTTTTAATAATTCTAATACTTGAGTACTTTACTTAAACACTTAACTTTGACTAGTGGAAGTTGTTTGTACTTCCAATCTTAAAATCTTAACTCTTAAACTTTGAGGGAGTTGAAGTTACTCTCCTCTCTTAAAGCTCAAATCTTGACTTAAATACTTGACTGACACGGGGATCCCTCACTAGCTAGTCTGGTTGCCAACTCATACGTATGAGAAGCCATCCAGGCTTTCCTTAAACTTAAACTTAGTTAGGGGAGTCGTAACGATTCATCCCCCTAACATCTTAAACTTATCGTGGTGGCTCTTCACCACGATTCTCAAGAGCATAACTGATGCTCTATCTCAAAATGTCTCAAAAGGCAACGGACTGGCGCTAGTGACTAAAAACACTTAAAACGAACTTCTTAAAAAAGACTTGCTTCTTAAACTTTAACCATAACTTATAAACCTAAAGCTTTAAAGTAAATAAGAACTCATGCACGTTCACTTCAAACATAGCTCAAACAAAATCACATATCACCAATCATAAACACAATCAAGCAATAACAATCACTTCATCAAATACTTAAAGCTCGTCAAACTTGAAAGAATACGTAAGGCGTAGAATTTACCCCCTTCACACTCACCTTATATTGAAGTTGATTGAATTGAATCAACGAAGGGATGGATTTCCCTTCACTCGATCGACGCATGACTGCTCGGCCACAACCCCACCATAACAAGATTTACGTGCCCTAATGCCATTCTAAGGTGATTTCAACAATACAATCACCATTGCATCCACAAGCCACGTACCACCTTAGCTGAACCTAATTCTTTTAACCACGCCCACAGCTCACACTCGTTCAGGATCATCATGGCCCTCACTTATTACTCCATCTCAAACCTAGATTGCAGCTTAATCGTCCTCGTTCTCCAAGCCTTCACCTCGCTCCACTCATGTAGCAGTCTATCAGCGCTGCTGCCATTTGTTCGAAATAGCGCGAGCTTGGTCCAAGAATCCCGCCGCCATCCATTATCTGGGGGCTTCACCTGGTCCATTTAATTCCCCAAAACCTTTCGTCCTAAGAAAGCCTGCGTCCATTCGGTGGCGGTGGTGAATTTGGTGATGACGATGTGATAAGAGGATGGAAATGGACTTGTCCGCTTGCGAGGGGGAAAGGAAAAGTGCTTCTGGCGGTGCTTGTGCGTTGTGGGGAACGCGACAGAGACCGAGAGACGTGTGCAATTGGTGATGGGGACTAGGAGTAGTTGACGGTGCAATCCCCTGTTTTATTAGTTTTAGGCTTAACATATATATACCTAGGTGAGGCCGAGTGAAAGGTAGGGTTAGGTTAGGGTTTAATTGCACCAGGCTTATCTTGGGAGTTTAATCCAAAACTCAATTAACATTCGTAACTTCCTCGTTTTATGTCGAAATTCGACATAGTTGAGCCGAGAGATCGCATTTTTGGTCCTCATCAATATTACAATAGAATTTGACAAATTTTCCCAAGGGCATAATAGTCATTTTGGCTTTCGGGAAGCGCAGGGTGTAACATTTCCTCCACCCTTATAAAAATTTTCCTCCCCGAAATTTGCTTGAAACTCATTGCTCATTCTACACCATCTTTGTACTTCCTTGCCTCAAGAATTTACTCTGGCTAAATGTACTTTGATGATGTCCGTTGCTTGTCCCATATAGTTTACCTCACTTCTTATATTTCCTCTTGATCATAGAAGGGATTCTCACCAAGCTCGTTAGCATCAGGCAGCTTTGAGTGACTACTT